CCTCATTAAATTGAATAAAATCTTATTCAGTGTAAGAAATAGCTTAATACAGACCCATAACAAAGGTTTGGAATAGATTATTCTCCTCTATTTCTCTGAAGCCGAAAAAAAAAAAAAAGCCAAATTTAGGAGAGGATCGGGTTTACTTTAATATTGTTTGCCTATGTACGTTACAGGAAGAACACTGACAACCCCTAATTTCATAGCAAATTTCAGATGCCTTCTGAAAAGCATTTATAAATCTTCTGCTAAACTCACCAATTCTTTGGAATCTGAATTTCTATACATGTTAATTTCTGCATTACAGTAAAGGCAGATAAAATTACTAATTTTAAGCGATTTTTTTACAATTAGAATCATGTATATGAAACGTAACATAATGCTGGCAAGTCTGTGTTTGCAGTTAAAACCCTTTAAATTTATTGATATTTATCTAGTACAAATATACCTAAACATTGCAGATCACCTCAGCTGTTAAAACTAAGTTCCAAAAAATATTGGTGTTGAAGTTCTTTCTAGTTTGTTGTCAGTGACTCGTTATGTTTCATTAGAATAAAAACCATACACAATTTTTTTCAGTTTTGAAAAAAGCTACTCAGTAGTAAATGGTCAAAATCAATCCTGGTTGATACATTTGCAAGATCCTTTGCTTTGCTTTGAAGTTCATCAGTCTGATGGATATGGAGAATCTGTTAGAATCTTATTGTTACGCTGTAAGAGTGAGTGTGGATGTCAGACATACCACAAAGCTCCAATTCTGCGTTAGAAAAAGACCAAAGGAATACATGTAGGACTGAGAATCATGAGTTAGAATTCTGGATTTGCCATTTGCTATTGCCTGTTATTGGGTAAGTCATTTTTCTGTCTGTAGCTTGCTTAAAATGTACACAATGAAATTTGTATCCATCTTTATTTTACACTAATGTTTTACAAAACTTTGATTCAGAATGTACTATGCAACTGTGAGTGTTATTGCAGGCTCTACCAGTGCAGAAACTATGTCACTCATTTCAATACCACAGCTTCAACCATTTTGCTTATATACTGTTCTAACATGAGGGAAAAGTGTGGATTTCCACCAAATCAGTACATTTAGAGCATGATACATATCCAGTAATACCTTGGATATTGTACATATTGGAAACGTGTACATATATGAATACAACAAGAGTAAGGGAGATAAACTTATAGTTCTAGTATAAACTTATAGTTCTAGTACAGATAGTAAAGCTACTGTTGTCAGAATGAATTTTTGACTTATCTCCAAAAAAAAGTAGATAATGTACTATGAAAACACTGGACATAGAATTAAGAAGACATTGCATAACTTTCACAGTAATATAATATACCAACAAAGAGATAACTCAGGGTTCATATTTGAGTACTTATCTCAGTGTATGTCCTTCTGAAAGGAAAATGTCATAAAAACAAAGGTTTTATTCTCACCCAAAGTATTTTTATCCCATTTACGTGTTCCTGAGACTCCTTCCAGAAGTGATTTTTCCTGGCATAAATTCATCTTACCACCAGTTAACATTGAATAATTGGGGTTGGAAGAGACCTCTAGAAATCACATAGTCAGCGCTACTGCTCAGTAGAGGTCAACTCAAACTTGTTACTCATCACTTGTTATGCACATCATCACATTTTGACTAATTCATGGCTAACTTTGAGATCCATCTGAACTATCAGGAACAAATCTTAGAGTTCTTCTTTTCATCTAATGCAAGAACTGGGGCTTTTTCTGTATCCAGGTTACACTTTCGTGAACTCCAATTTCAAAAACATGGAGCAGTTATTCCTGTTAATTATTAGGATCATTTAAATAAGATATAATTGAGAAGAATGAGTACTGTACAGATATTGAAATGCTTTACATAGTTTGTCAGATGGTCTTTAAAAGCATAGGTAATTTTTACCATCCCAAAAACATTGTTTTGAAAAAGAAAAAAAGCTTATAGCAAAAGTACGTCGGTGTGACAGGAAGAAACGTTATTTTCTCTACTCTGGATAATTTCAAGGCTTATCTTAAAAGTAAAGCTGAATTGTCAGCAAAGGTAGCCTAACATTTTAAATGCAGAGCGTATTTGTTTATAATGTTAGTAGTCAATGTATGATAGTGGTTAACACTAGTTTAATACTAACTTATTAGTGTGATTAATAGTCTAGTATGAGCTTATTCAAGGCAATTACATCATTAAATTAATTTTAGACAGAAAATGTGGGCATGCCAGTAAAGGGAGCAGCAAAGGTCAGAATTTATAGGTTTTCTGAACGTGCACTTTGGATTATATATCCAATTTGGATTATATATATGTTTCTAAATAATAGCTGTATACATAGGTCAGACTGAAAACAAGGCAAACTTATAATTAATTACTAATTAACTACTTTCTGTCTTTCTAAGACATCAAAAAAATGAAGCTCATACCTGACAGAGAGATGGTGCAACTTCTAGTAAGGTTGAAGTGAATGATGAGGAACATATGACTTTCGAAATACTCAAAAGTACCCATCTGCATAATCAGATATCCTTAATTCTTTCTCTTTGTTTTCCTTCATTTCTTCTGCTACAGAAAAAACAGGTAATTTGATATGCCACTTAGACAGTTAACATGATGTTTACTGAGGAACTAAAGCTTCAAACAACAGGCAATTGATTAACTTTCTGTTGTCTATCAGCACATACTTGTTACTTTATCATACATCCTAGGGCACCACTTCAATTAGCCTTATTTGCAGCTCCCTGTGCAACTGTAGAATACCATGCAGCCAGAAGTGAGCTTAGGGGTAAAATAATGTTTTTAAATATAACCATTATAACTTCTTTAAACTGCTATTTGCACTCATTTGGGAAATAATTGGTAGGGTAATAAAAGGGCTTTGAAACTGATGTGGACTTTTCAAGACATGGTCCTTTGCTCAGCTACGTGAGAACTGCAGGGTTTTAGCCAGGGTTAGTGCAGTTAACTCTTCTACTTTTTAGTTTTCTAGAGGGAGGAAGGAAGGTGCATTATTCTTTCTATGCTTTATTATCAAACTTTTTCTTTATTCTTCTCCACTTCATACCTTTTAGCTAATTTTTGTTCATGTGTCTTTCTGTTCTCTATAATGTGTCTTTCTGTTCTCACCTGTTCTGTTTCTCTAGTCAGCTGGCATTGCTATTTATGTCAAATGACACTACTATCTTATATTTTAACTGTGAAATTTTACAAAATTACTGCTGCGGTTTTCCATAAGGGCTTTTGTCCCTTGAATTGTTGAAAAAAAATCTTATTTCTAAGGCAGACAGTAAAAGTGCAACATTCTGCACAGAACCATAATTTAAGATTTAATTATAAAATAGATTCAAAATTCACTGAGGTTAAAGTTACTTTTGTGGTGATATCAGCAATCCTGATTTCTTTTGCATGCTTCTACAAGCTTTATGACCTATCTTTTCATCAACTTGCCATCTAGAGAGCACGTTTCGTAATTTAGTGAGGTGATCACATTATCAGTAATAAATATATGGCTATGAAGTGTTAGTGTATCAGGTAGTGAAATTATTGCATCGTAAGTAGTGCTAAAATAATTTCATTTTAGTGTAATGTGTGATGAAAACAATATCTAGAGTTTTGGGGCTTTCCCGCTAACTTTGTTGAGCTCTTGGCAGGTCCAGAATTTTTAAGTTTATTTGGAGAATACTCAAAATCTGTTCAATCAGCATTGGAACAAACAAAATGATTTTCACTATTTGATGAATACAACAAGCAAGACATGAAACCTTTTGAGATCTTACAGACCTTTGGAGTTTGGTGTACAATAGATAATAGCCTTATTGCAACATTCACTGGTGTGACTTGACTGACTGACTGACTGACCTTAGGGTTCCTGTTTCAGGTATGCACTGTTGATTATATTTACAGGGAACAGGAGCCCCTGGTAGTCTAGAGGGTAAAGGCGCTGCACTGTCACTGCAGAGACCCGGGTTCGATTCCCGGTTGGGGCCACTCCCTGGGCAGTTGGAGCTCGTTAGCCCTGTAAGGCAATCCATCTACGTCCTGAGGACCTCGCTGCCACCGTCCATGGCAGATGAACCTCAGGATTAAAGGGTGGGCTCAGTTCCGCGCACACTGTGTCTCACCTAAAAAATCCAATGCACAGGCTGGAAGGTGTAAAAACCTTCCCCAGTTCTTCGTTTGCGAAGACTGGCCATTACACAGAACAATTCCTGCAAGAGTTATGTATCTTATAGTCTGTTTTGCTGCAACTAAGCAACAGCTTTTTGGCATAGATGCATCATGTCTATAACTTTTGCACATACATTCTCAAATTGCTTTTATCACAGAAAATTGCTGCTAAATCATGGTGGAACTCCATGTACAGCACTGCACAACCAGATCTTTAACACCTACTCATCTGGATCACTTTTAGTTTGTTTTCTCTTGTATTTCAAATGTGTTATGCCTTGCAGGGTATGATCTATGGACATTTAAGTATTGTCATCTTCTCTTTCATACCAACAGACCCTAAAGCAGTACTCCTACTGCTCCTCCAGTATGCTACACATAAGCACCTAGTGTTTATTTTATTCAGTTATTTTGAACATTATTATTTTTCAGATGTTGTTCTGCACTCTGCTTTGCAGATGAACACGATTGCATATCCCCTCTATGATTCAGGGGAGGAAGCCAATATGTCAGAGCAACATTCTGCCAATGTTCACAAGCACCTGTCAGTGTCTCTCTCCAGCTGCCTGCTCGTTGTGCATCTGGTGCTCTGTGTACGTCTTAGGGAAGTGGATAGATGCTGAAATTGCATAATGGAGTGTATGCAATGACTTGGAGATACAGGTTCAGAGTGATCTTCTAACTTTCAGCTTCTTCCCTCATTCTCAGTCAGACCTGAGACACCTTTTCCACTCCTCTCTCAAAGTCAGTCAGGATATGCACATATGCATTTAGTAACTTCTAAATATTTTCTTGTCAAGTTAAGAGCTTATAATAGACATTTTAAAAAAAGTAAAACATTTACCACAGGGAGAACTAAATGCACTTTGTATATTCATATATATTCCTTCTTTTTCACCTTTGAAATATCCCCCACATACTTTTCCCATTCCAGAAGATTTCATATCCTTGAAAAGATAATTGTGCAGGTAAGACACAGAGACTGATCAGTTGGTATGTTTTTCAAACTTAGCCTTACTCTTTTGCTATTTAAAGTAAAGAAATAAAATACATTAGTGACTCAGAAATTAAGTAAATGTAAGATTTCAGCCAAACCAGAAATTAGTTGATCTCAAACTTCCTCCTCTTCATAGGATTGTGGGCAATTAGGCAACGGAAAGGTAGACAAGTTATTTTTCCTGTAAATATGACACTCTGAAGTAAAAATTTTTGTCCCCGTTGGGTTCTTTGTTTTCCAGCTTGCAAATATCAAGTGAGTCGTCATTCACATGCAGATAGTAACTTCTGTCTTCATAGCATTGGAACTGTACTGAATCTCCTTGGTAATGCATGATGAAAAAGTTATTATCTTCATTCAGCTGTGAAAATATACAAGATAAAGAACACGTTATATTTTTTAAGCCTTTCTATAGGGTTTCATGTGACAAAAGTTCATGTATGTTGCTGGCTTCTTGTATTTTGGATGCTTTTGTCCAGTGACACATATTTACCAATTTTTAAATAAATCTTTGACAACACCTAATCATTTTGGGACAGATTCTGTGATAACTATGAATGAAATAATACCCATCTCCGTCAGAGCACTGAGTAATTACAGACTCATAGCTCATAGCTTTATTTTTTTGCTTCACAGAAAGATTAGCACAGCTTTGCCAGTGTCATTAGGATAATTTGGGATTTTCATCTGGTTATTTTCTTATCTTAGACCTGCCCCATCAACTGCCTCTAGTAAAAAAGAAAAAAAAAAAAAAAAAAAAAAAGAAAAGTCAATCCACAGTTTTTCTTGCCTCTTTTGAAGTAAAATTAGAATGTTACAGTAGAAATTGCTCTTTAACAACTGTTCTATTACCTATGATTTTTTCTGTATGTCTCATTTCCAAAGTGCTTTTTTAAAGACCCATCTCTGGGGCAATAGCTATGGTCCAAACAGCTCCTCTGTGTGTGTGGTATCTAGCCTCTTCAGGAACCTTAGGCTAAGGATTGAGAAATAGTCCTTGCCGGAACACATCACGCCAGAGAGAGGAAGAGTGTGTGCTGAGAGGTAGCCTTGGAAACCATAAGACCTGGAGACTAGAAGCACTGTTAAATCTGTGAAACCTGGTACCAAGATGCTGCTGAACCTGCCCACGTCCTCCAGCACCACTGGCACCTACCATGTGCCATGTAACCCACACCACGTCCAAGAGGGCAGCAGCTGCTGTAAGTGGACAAGGATTATAGGGCAGTACATGTGGTCACAGCTGCTGGAACGAGGAACCCCGTGTGAGACTGTGCGCAACTGCCTGGAACGCCCTGGAGAGTGTGGGCATGAGACCTGCTTCTGACTGTGTACACTGAGTGAAGGAGGAACTAACTGAGAAGACTGTGTAAATAGTTATCTACTGCTAATCGTAAGACCCTGCTGGCAATAGTAAGACCTTAATTAACAGAGAACTGAGATTTGTATTTCCAGCAACTCATCCTCCCATCAGGGAGCAGGGAATATATAATATCTTTTGGGAAAGGCTGAATGCATCATAATCTAATTATATCAACTTTCCTTTTTAGTGACCTCTTTGACTCTTATCCTACCCAAAAGTCAGTTCTGTAACTCTTACAGGTCTGGTGCATTATCACACAGCACCTACAGGATGGACAAAGGATCAGATCTACCCAGTGTGGGTTTAAGAAGAGCAGGCCCTGTCTGACCAACCTGATCTCCTTTCATGATCAGGTGACCCACCTGGTGGGTGAGGGAAAGGCTGTGGATGTGTCTATCTGGACTTCAGCAAAGCCTTTGACACTGTCTCCCATAATATACTCCTGGAAAAGCTGCAGCCCATGGCTTGGACAGGGGCACTCTGTGCTGGGTCAGGAACTGGCTCGAGGGCCGGGCCCAGAGAGTGCTGGTGAACGGGGCTGCATCCAGCTGGCAGCCGGTCACCAGTGGTGTTTCCCAGGGATCAGTGCTGGGACCAGTCCTGTTTAATATCTTTATCAATGATTTAAATGAGGGGATCGAGTCCATCATTATCAAATTTGAAGATGACACTAAGTTGGGAGGGAGTGTCGACCTGCTGGATGGCAGGAGGGCTCTGCAGAGGGATCTGGATAGACTGGAGAGATGGTCTGACTCCAATGGGATGAAGTTCAACAAGGCCAAGTGCTGGGTCCTGCACTTTGGCCACAACAACCCCCTGCAGCGCTACAAGCTGGGCAGAGTGGTTGGAGAGCAGCCAGGCAGAAAGGGACCTGGGGGTGCTGATCGACAGGAGGCTGAACATGAGCCAGCAGTGTGCCCAGGTGGCCAAGAAGGCCAATGGCATCCTGGCCTGCATCAAGAACAGTGTGGCCAGCAGGACCAGGGAAGTGATCCTTCCCCTGTACTCAGAGCTGGTGAGGCCACACCTGGAGTGCTGTGTCCAGTTCTGGGCCCCTCAGTTCAGGAAGGATACTGAGGTGCTGGAGCAGGTCCAGAGAAGAGCAACGAGGCTGGTGAAGAGACTTGAACACAAGTCCTGTGAGGAGAGGCTGAGGGAGCTGGGGTTGTTTAGTCTGGAGAAGAGAAGGCTCAGGGGAGACCTCATCACTCTCTACAACTCCCTGAAAAGAGGTTGTAGCCAAGTGGAGGTTGGTCTCTTCTCCAGGCAATCAGCAGTAGCACAAGAGGGCACAGGCTTAAGCTCTGCCAGGGGAGGTTTGAGTTGGATATTAGGAAGAAATTCTTTACAAAGAGAGTAATCAAACACTGGAATGGGCTGCCCAGGGAATTGTTGGATTCTCCATCCCTGGAGGTTTTTAAGATGAGACTGAATGTGGCACTTAGCGCCTTAGTCTAGTAACCATGGCAGTGTTGGATCAAGGGTTGGATTTGATGATCTCAGAAGTCCTTTCCAACCTGGCTGATTCTATGATTCTGTGATTCTATTCTATGATTCTATGATCATTGCTTAAGGGGACCTCCAAAAGGAAACTGAATGCCTGGGGAAAAGCAGGGGAATGTTAAAGCATCACAGCTACATTTGAGATTACAGCATTGGCAACAACAACCTTTCCATGGAAGGAGCAGTGTATCCTTTCAGCCTGTATGACAAAAGTGGATGGAAAGAAAATGTCCTGCAGTTATGGCAGAGTACCTGAAAAAAACTTGAGGATACACCTTCTATACCAGCAAAGCTATAATGGGAAGCAGCTAAAACATTCTGTCCTGACAGAGTCCATGTAACAACAGTGTATCTGCAGCTTTAATCCAAAAAGTGTGTTTTAAATAATACTGTTAAGAAAGTTGAAGAAAATTTGTCTTTAGGAAAGAAGTACCTTCTAGGGACTCAGAATGGATATAAGGAAACATACATGGAATAAGAGAGTTTTGGAAAAGAAAATCTGCAGAAGCAAGGAGGGAGATTCATATGCACGATGCAGAAATTCATTCTAGAGTGAGGGAGACTCCATTGGTATCTGCTGAATGTGAACCCAAAATTACATGCTAGCCAAAGGAGACTGAGATACAAAAAATAAAAAATGCCTACTGTAACAGCATGAAATGATGGAAAATTAGATGGAGAACTGCAACAGGAAAATAATTTGGTGAATGATATTATGTGACTAGGAGAAGAAAGAGGAATTGGGAGTAGAAGCATAATGAAACACTTTTAGGACTGGGAATTGCAGCAGGTCATTGGAGAACAAATTGTTTTGCAAGAAATTATGACACAGGTAATTTTCTGTTATGGCCTGTAAAGAAGGATATTGGAGAATGCAGTCAATTACTGCTCAAGTTCTTCCTGATGACGGCTTCTACAGCAGCAGGGATGCCTGAGAGGTTATTTGGAAATTCCAAGAAAAGAACTGCTGCTTTTCAGCTACAGTCTGACCATTTGTTTTCCATTTCATTAAATGAAGAACCAGTTTGCAGGTTAGGTTTCATGTTTAGTGTCAAAAAATACACCTTTTCTTATGTCCCACAGGTGATTCACAATGCTTCTGCAATAGCACGTGTATGCCCATGTTAGAAAAATGCTACAAATATCATCTCCCTAGGCAATATTAAAGAAAATACATTAGTATTGCCTTATTAAAGAAAAACAAAAATACATCATTGATGGGAGCTACAGAAAGAGATGTGAGGGAGTAGTATCCAAGGTTTAAGTAAATAGACTCAAAATGATGTAAATTCAAATTGAATAAGGCACAGTGAGCAGGCTAGGTTCAGCTGCTATACGCTAAACTAGGAAGCAGCCGGAAGATAAAAAGAAAGAGATATGAAGGCCAGATGAAAGACAACATCCTGCTTTGTTTCAACTCATTATGCAAAGGAGTACAGGGCACACTGCAATCTACATTTTGATTCATAAGAAACAAGGAAATGAGCCAGTGATCAAACAGGCATGAGTTGTACAATGATAATAAGCAAACCAGTAAAACAGCTGCCACCAAAATTGCATCCAAGAAGCTATGGACAGGAAGCTATTACAATTATGGAAGGTATTACAAATTAATTATGTAATTTGTGGCTAAAACAGGATTGATGACATCCCAGTGTTTTTTGCTATTGCTGAGCAGTGCATGTAAAATATTATGAGCTTCTCTTTCTTCCGACTCAGCCTCAGTGAGTAGGCTGAGGTGGGCAAGAGGGAGGGGACACAGATGGAAGAGCTGTCTCAGACTGGCCAAAGAGATACTCCATGCTATATGATGTCATGTTTAGGCATAAAGACTGATGTAGAGGAAGCAGGATGTGAGGTTGAGAGGATGCGAGTTTGCTTCCAAGGAGGCTATTGCTCAGAAACTGGCAGGGCATTGATCTCCTTGTGGGAGGACATGAGTGTTTGGGGGTTTTCTGTGATATTCATGTGTTATTCTTCTGAGTCTTTTGCTTGACTCAAAAGTTTTCTTACGTCTGCTTTTGCTATTCTCTCTCCTGTCCACAGGCAGGGAGTGGGTCTGGGTGAGTAGCTGGGCTGGATGCTGGCTGGGGCCAACACACTTCAGTGCTTTTTTGTCTCACAGCTGTTCCTGTGAGAACAGCCCTGCATCATTCGGTTCAGATGCATTGGACACCCCTACACTGAAAGCAAACTGTGGCCTGCACTCTGCTGCTAAAGGAGTCAGGAATAATGTTTCGGCAATATCAGCTGTAGCATTCACTCCGCCACATTTGTTTGCCATTTGTACTGGAGCAGTAGGATAATTGATACAGCAGCCCAGCCCCCAGTGGTGGCATGACTTTGTTCAGCCCAGAATAGTCCTCTTTTACCCTCTGTCAGACTTTCACACTGGTCATACGTGACTTCTGAAAGGTGACTGAAGCTTGCTGATCACTCCTTGGCTCTCCGATAGATGAATCAATAGTTTCAGGCCAGAAAAACCCCTCAAGCTGCACACTGGGTACCAAAAAGGACTGTGGGTGGATGTCAAACCCATAAACATTGTCACTACTTAAAAGGTCAACAGTTCTGAACCAAGGTATTTTGGTGGACCTCACATGACAGGTTTTACCTGTTTAGAGTTTATTTTGGCCTATTTAACACAATAAGATCTTTCCTAAGTGCATAGCTGGCCTCCAGTGTAAGCTCTCTTATTCAGCTTCATCTAACTAGTCAGTAAAATATAGAGGACTCTAGCATAAAAACTGTTCCAGCTGTTAATGAGACTTTTACAGCTTCAGTCCTTCAGGTCTCAGTTCACTCAGGCTGAGGAATTCCAGTCAAAATTTTGGGAAAATGCTGTCCAGATACAGTCACATATTAATCCTGAATTATCCAGCAAAGAATAACAACTTGAAGAGGAGCACTCAGCTTCAGTGATAGAATTGTTGAATTCTATCTTTTACTCATTTTTTAAGCAAATGTGTTAATTCAAGAAGATTTGAAATTGAGGGAAAACTGAGTGCTACTAGTGCTTAGGAAAAGCTGAGAGAGATAAGTATACATACATAAAAGTCTGAGGGTGGTAGTATGTCAAGAATAATAAAATGTTATAGTTGAACCAGAACAGAAACTATGCTAAAGGGAGATACTACATATATGTACTGAAAAAGATGTGTACCTCTCTGATAGCCAATATATATTCACTAATTCCTGTGCCGGAGTTAAAAGGAAATACTGTTCTGTGTCTCTTAATTCATCATGCTGTATGGCTAACTGCATTTACTTCTATGATATTTTTAATTATGATAAACATGTTCTACTACAGAGTTAAAATAATCACAGTTATAAGCAAATGCAAGCCTGCACTTGAGTGAACAACTGGGGATGGTCTCTCCACTGCTGCACTAGCTGGAATACTGCAACTGTGTGTGCTGTGTGAGGCTGTAACTGTGTATACTGTGCAGTTTTCCACTCTTACCATGATATCGTTGCAATAAATATTGGTTTTCATCTGTGCTACCTTCCTGGTTTAATCCCCTATCAGTATCAGAAGTTATTACAAACTATTATGTGCTGTAACAAGTTTTTATTATTTTATTGCCATAAGAACCTAATAATTAGAAGATGTTGTGATTAATACTGATAGTGAACCATGTCTCCACAAACCTCGGTTATAGAAATAGATGTTGACAACACTATATGCAATTCTGTTACATGCAACTGCTGTTATACCTGCTAGTATAACAGCAGGCTCCACAGATTCTCACATTCTCACATTTCTGATAATTCTACTGGCAGTCTTTAAATAAAAAAAGAGAAACGCCTGCCTTTAAGATTACTGGACTAAAAGCCACATTGCAGCCCCACATAGCTTTGTCATTGTCCATGAGAAGTACTTTTCCATCTCAGTGCACTACTCCTACACTTTTCCATCCTAAGGACAATGGAGGCTCTATTCATCACACTAGAAATCTTTTACTCATGAGTGCACTCATTTTAGATGATTTATTAATAATCTCATGAGTCACACTTGACTAAGATTTTGCCTCTTGGCCCAACTGCATGTGATTCAAGTGCAGACTACTGATTTTTTCATGCAAAAATGAGTAACATTTCTTCTTCTGTTTGAGGGTATTAACAAGAAACCATGATGAGCAGATCACTATCTGTCTTGTTAGCCAACAAATGGGTTCTCTGAAGGAATTTTTGATTTTAGTTCTTTTTGGAAACCTGAACTGATGAATAGGTGTCTACAGGCAACTGTTACAGCTCTTCTTCCCAGATGTTTCCCCAAATTTGGAGGCATCAAGACACTAATTCTTTCCTTATGAATCTTTTCCACAGAAAAAGGCATGTATTTTTATTTGAAAAAAAAAAAAAGTATTAAATATATTTTAGAAGGATACAATGTGACCGTAAAACTTTACATCATACAAGGAGGGGACTAATAGTTGCCTTATAAATTTCCTAAGCTTTGTTGCTTTCTCCTTCTGTGTAGAGTCAAGGAATATTAGTGGCAGGTAAGTAACTCAGCAGAACTTAAACGAAGGACCCACTTAGATTTTCCAGGCCCAGTATGCAGGAGATTATTACTTCATTAGTATAGCTTGTACCTTTGGAAGATCATTTCAAAAAGACTTCAATTTACCAGAATTGGTAAATGAATCCTTTCTGGTTTAGGAGAAAGGTTAGCAATGTTAGAAATACTAGGCTGGGAATTTCAGGTTTTCAGGGTTTTATATTCACTGTTATGAAGTTCTGAAACTATCTGATCCCAGATAGCTCTAATTTTGCCTGCTGTAACTGGAAAGATTGTCTTTTCAGTTCCCACAAGGCTCCAACCCTAATAAAAATTATTATTATGTACATTTACTTAGGTTTGCATCTTCTTTAGGTTACAATGTCCATTTAGGGTATCGTATAAAGGAATTAAAGTAATTTTCTTCATGTGCTCACAGTGTCTTATCATTTCTATCTGGAGAAGGGCCAACAAAATCAAGCTTTCATCACAAAAACATGTTTAGAAAACAGCTGGTTACCTGTATTTCTATCCACAAGGCATTACTCCTGATCTATAGTCATCTAATGATACAGGATTCAACCTGAATATGTGACAGGAAGTGCTTCCTTTTTATTTCTTCTTTAGAATAAATCATATATGCACCTTTTACGGCTTTATTACTTCCCAGAATTTTATGACTGACGGCGTCATTGTTTTTTACAAATGTTCTAACCTTCGTAATCTGGTTCTTCTAGACCTGATAAACACTCATCCAGATTTTCTAGCCCTTGTCTAAGAATCTGTACCAGATGAAAACTACTTTGTGTCTCCCTGCATTTTATGTAAGCATAATACAGGATACATAGCCATCTTTCATGTATTAATTGAAAGTCAGATATTCTATCTGTAGATTGAAAGATGTACTCATACATAAAAGTCAGGTTAAAAAATATGGAAATTGTTTTCCTGAAGAAAATAATAAAGATCAGCTGAAAGTAAAAGGAAGTAAACAACCTGTCACCAAACCAGTAATAGCAGGATGCATTTAAATGCCCTTTTTCTACAGCTATATTTGACACACAGTCTCTCACACGCATTTTTTTGTTTGTTTGTTTTGATCACAATTGTATACCTGTTTGAAGTCAGGATCTTCATGGTTGCATGTTTTCATGTTGCACCTTTCCACTGAAGGATAATCTGGCTCCGAACAGGATGCTTTTAAGACCTGTGTTTACACCCAGATTCGTTAATTTTATAATTTAGTTTGGTAGTTTTTTCTTAATATTTTGATTTTTTAGCTCATCAAATGTGGCATTAGTTCTAAAGAAAAGTATATTTTTATAAAGTTCTTTAATTATTATATTCAAATTATCAAAGATTAATAAGTTGATAAGTTTCTGAAACACTTCCATGAATATATTCCTCTTTTAACATTTGCAACACAAAATGAATTGGGTTGAAAGCAAATACTGAAGACAGACCTTCAAACTGTTTAATGCCCAGATTCTGTTTTGCAATGCAGCACAGACTGAACCATGTTGTATAGGGATACCAATATCTTATCATAGATAAAAAACCTTGTTGACTTCCATTTCAGAATTCCCATTGAAATTAAGGAAATTCTTTCTATTCTTGTGTAAAAAGAAAGATCCATGATCTTTCCAAGGTTTTTACATATTTGAGAGACACCATCTTCCCTCATTTTCAGAGAAGAACTACTTTCAATGATGTCAAGAAACATAATCTGTTATGACCTCAAACTTTAAAATAGGGTCACTGGTAAGTTAAATCCATTAGGGATCAGAACTCAATTCTTTCTCTGATTTGGTGGAACATGCCTCAAACAATTAATTTATGAAAAGTTAATCTCTTAACCAGAAAAAAATAATTTTACTATAATTGCTCTTTCAAGGACAGAAAGGAAAATCCTAGTGGGATAATAGTTTATAAATATAATTTACGTACCTTACAGCATATATTTCCCCAAATAATTTCAGGAAACAGATTTTACAGAAAGTCATATATGAGTTAAAAAACAAACGAAAAACATCCAAGACTTTTAAAGGAAGCACTTGGTGATTTACACCATCATGCATGGCCAGCATTAGATGAAGGGTCATTCTTTATCTCAACTCAGCCTGTGTAAACAGAGCTTCTTGGACCTTTGCCCTGTTTTAGAGGGTAGATTGCAACACAGCATTCCTCAGACAGATTTTGGTAATGGTTATAACCCCTCAATAGGGAAGACTATCCTTGCCTTCTCTTCTGACCATTAACAAACTTTCACAAGACTGGAGAAAATGAGAATGCTCAGACAGCCGGTGGTTTATACTCTGCTTCAGCTCAGTATTTGCTTTTCATCACATTCCTCATCTTAGAGTGTGGGTTGATTAGGAGGAAATAATTCCCTTCTTAAACTCTTCTCTTTCCAAGGCAAGATTCCTGATTTCTCCTCCCCTCTTATTTCCTGCATGTTTTCTGGTTAAGAAGTCCCCTCTTCTTCCATAGAGACTGGACCCTAACAACCCTGACTGTTTTCTAACCAAAGATTTTTGCAATAACCTTCTTGGACTATTTCCCCTGAAAGAACAAAGGGGAGTAGTTGGAAGTTGTGGAATGTGGAAGGTGGTAAGTAAAGTGAATTTTAAAAAGTCGGGGGGGGGGGGGGGGGAAATTATCCTATAGTAAGAAAGAGCACTCAATAGTTATAGAGGAAATAAATAACTTACCTTCAGAGAGAGGTCATTCTTACCCTTGCACAATAGGACAAATTCATTCAGCTTTGATCTCTGAGTGAGGCTCACCAAATTTTTAGAATCTGTTTTACACAGAGAAGAATATTGTAATAATATGAGTATCACTTTGTAAAATGAAGCACAGAAAAATGTACTTTGCAAAGAGAAAACATACAGGTTCACTTTACATTGATAAGCATAGGCATAGAAATAAATATAATCACTCTTGATACCATTCTCCTGTGTAAAATATTTAAAGCCTGTGACTTTATGAGGCTTTAAATATGCAAAATACACACTTTAGTTCTCTACATTTATAGTTAATTTATGGAATATCAGCTATACATTAATATACATAAAATGAACTATAAAGACACATATAGCAGTAGTTAACACATATGTGTAATATACATGTTTATGGGATATACATGACTATATATATGTGTTGTTATGGAAAATGTAGGATTTTTTTTCCCGTTTATTTTCTGCATGCTTTCTAGATCAAAATCCTTCTACTATCCTAACTGCAGATGCATCGCATTAACTGTTCTTGAGATAATACTGTTTTTTCTCCTGCAGGAAGTAAGACTATACCAATAATATGTTTCTCAGCTTGATAAACTGACAATGTTTGTTACCTTCTGGTACTGCAAGGCCTCAGCAAAAAATAAATACATTAAGTACTCTTTGCCAACATAAGGCATTACCTATTACAACCTATTACCTATTGCAAACCCATTACATCAATGACTATCTAGTGATGCTATACCTATCTGACTGACTTGCAAATTTACTTCAAATAATCATCATCATGGCTAGGCTTCGCAAACGAAGATTTGAAAAGGGCTCTATCCACACTTGCTACAAGCGCGCTGATGGCTAAAAAGGCCAATGTGAGATAGACAAGTCCGGTTGCAGAAGGCACAGCAGAAATACTTCAAATAATACCACTTGTGCTTTTAAAACTATCTCAGGTGTACCACTTGAGACAAAAAAACATAAAAGAGAGTAGCAGTTGATCTAAATGTTACTCACTGCAGCAACTCAACACAAATTTTGCAGAGGTTAGGAATTTATGCATTAATAGATGCAGTTAAGAATACTTTTTTCTCACGTTACCAAAGGTATTTTTTTAGTCTCTGAAGGATATTCCAAATCAGCAGGATACATTCATCCCACCTGACTCATTTTAGCTGCTCTAATCCTGGCCCTGATTTTAGCTGGCCCAACTTTCCCCAATTGTATTGCATTTGTGTTAGTGTTCTGGAGGAATTTTGTCTGAGACAGTTACAGCATTGAAGATATCATAAAAATCCACATTGATAACTGAGACGAATTCTCCAACCTAAACTGAGTATGTTTTAATCTGCTTACATGAGCATCCAGATAAATATAGCAGACTGGAGGTCTACCATTCTGTAATTTTTGTTGCTTTTTGTGACATCGGTTTAGATTTTAATTGCAGTTACAGCTGTAATTTCAGCCGTAATCAGCAGGCAAGAGAGATTTTTTTACCCAATTCAAGAGTGTTCTGACTTAGAGGTGAGAGTGGCAGCGAAAGAGATATGGTGGAGTCCATCCAGTTGACCAGGGACATAAGACAACATGAGTTACACCCTAACTATCCTTGGCTTTCCTCTTCTATGGAGTTTATTGTGACTCGGCTTATACATTGTTTAGTCTGAGTAAATCTGGAGTCCAATTTTCTCTATCATCTCTGAGAGATGTGACAAGTGGTCTACCAACAGCCAGCAAATGCCAAGGAAAGTAGGAAACCTTTCCATAATTTTATGTACTTTTACTTTCTGATGGCCTTTGAATTAATTACCTAGTCTTTCTGGTTACTAAAACCTTACCAGAGTCTAAGGGGCGATTTTAAAATCCATTCAAAGAGAATGCCTTGAAATTAATGAAATACAATATTTTCTTGCTAGTAATGTAGCCAAAATGCAAAGTGTTGGGAACTGGGAGGATATCAGTATTTTGTACTGTTCCCCAGAAAACTTCATTTGGCCTTTGTTCAAGGTGCAGTCCAGGACCAGATGGTTATTTGTTCTCATTGATTACAGCAGCCTTTGATAGCTGGAATTGGAACATACTTTTCTTCCACTGTAATACTTGGAATTAATATGTCTTTGATTTTCCCAATTGTTTCTTATGCATACAAAATGAAAGTTCCAAAAGTGTGCCTCCTTTTCCTCATATCAGTTTCTTTTTGTTTTTCCTCTCCTGGTACAACAGGTTTTTGCTAGCTAAGACCCATATGCCAGCAATAGAACACCCACACTTTCCTATAAAAAAATTGGATCTTGTAGCTTAATACAATATATTCCCTTACATACATTTGTGTTCAGTCCAAGCCACTACTCCTAATTTGCTAAGGTAAATTTTGTGAATTTGAAGATTTCATCTTATGGAACACTGAAAGGCTGTTTCATTTTTAGAATTCTTTGGTAACCTGATCTAACTGAAAAATCTGGTGCAATATGTGACTTCTAATGTCAAGTTTATGTACAAAATGTTACTAACTTCTTTTCCTACTCTCAAACATATCTTCAAAACTACACCCCAACAAACAGAATGATACCCGTTATTTCAGGGAAGATTTACCAGTACCTTCTGATTCATTCCTCGTAAACACGCTTAACCACGCAATGTCTAAAACAGAAAATATTTAAAAATTTGTGGAATTAGAGAGATACATTTTTGAAATTTTAAAAAGTTACAAACAATTTGAAGAATTGTTCTAAAGCATAATCTGAGAAAGAGCATGTAATAGCAATAAGCATCAGACTTATTCTAACCCTGGGAGGCTGTACTGTTAGACTTGTTAACAGGTACCTTGAAGTCTGAGCTCTGAATCTAATAAGTGTTTGATTGATTAGTTGTCTTTTGTAAAAGCGAATGCACCTGAGAAACTAGAGAGGGGTAATCAGATGTAAGGCCTAAAATCCTATTAGAGGGGAGCTTGAAAGTGCTTTGGCAGCAGAAGTGAGCACTCTAATAAGAAATGTATGAGACTGGAAGGTAATACGTAGCAACAGCAGTGGCTTAAGGCTTTTCTACCACTGGTCTGAATCACCCAAACAGTCAGCTGGGAAAGGCATCACCCCCTTCAGGTCAAAGTCACAAACATCCAGGTTACAAATGGTTCTTAATATTACATTTTCTTAACTATGTCATGATGAATATGTGTTTGTGGTGCTTATGTGTTTATATACACATAATATTACATAGCATTTCTTTTCTGTCTGCTTGTTTTTCTTCTAGAAATATCTTATACATTAGGATTGTCAGATGATATATTTATTCACAAACTGCTTCCATTATATACCTATACAAGCTTTGATTATGTTCATAAATTAACAATACTGGTTGTATGAGTTGCCTCAAAATTCTATTGTGTTATCAAGGAGAAACTTAAAAAGATATAAATCACACTAAATACCTTATCAGTGCAGCTGCCATTATTTACAACTTAATAGAAAAAAAAACCACCATAAATTGAGTTTATAAATATATCAAATGAGTGTTACATTTCTTTATCTGAAGCATATATAATTAACTTCTTATTCTGTAAAAGCCAGGCGTTTGTAAGAAATAGTTTCAATAATTTGATAGCTAACTTAAAGATTTCAACTTTTTCCCATATTTTGTTTAGAAACATGGTTTATTGGGTTTTTTCCTCCCTACTTTCACATCTCTGGAAAGTGTATCATTCTGAAATAATTGCATTTGATATTATTTGGCTTTTCTCTACCAAAAGAACACCCTCTAACAAGCACTTGCAGCATATTATTTATGATAACATGTTTGGTGTCAAATAGAGAAGCCCCATTTGAGACAAAAGAGTTATTTGAGGCAAAGTAACCCCACTAATTCCAAAATATGCTCTGTTTTTCTCTATTTTTCCCCGTCTCTGAGGATTATCTTTACTTTCTCTCTCTTTAGAGCTAAATCTCTAGACTTCCCACTAAGTCAAGTGAGCATGAACAATGCAGTCTTCTTGTCATTCAAGTATATTAAATACCTACTGTAAATGAGGATAAAAGTTTTCTTGTATCACTATCAATATTCATAAAGATGCAATATAATGTTATGTCTACAAAAAATGTAGACTTATAGAATCACATAGGTTGAAATTCGTATTCATAATGATCACGTTATGATCATCAAATGCAAACACTGATCTGACACTGCCAAGTTCACCATGTTCCTAATCACTGTATCTACACACTAAATCCCTTCAGGGGTGGTGACTGAATCATTTCCTGATCAACCTTTCCCAAAGCTTGGCAGCACTTTCATTGGAGAAAATTTTCCAAATTTCTAAGGCTAAACCTCCCCTGACACAGCTTGAGGCCATTTCCTCTCATCCTGTCTCTTGCTATCTGGGAGAAGAGGCTGACCCCACACCTTAACACACCCTCCTCTCCTGTAGTTGTAGGGAGCAGCAAGGTCTCCCCTGTGACTCTTTTTCTCCAGGCTAAACATCCCCAGCTCCCTAAGTCGCTCCTCACAAGACCTGTGCTCCAGACCCTTCACCAGCTCCATTGCCTTTCTCTGGACACACTCCAGCACCACAATGTCTTTTTTACAGTGAAGTGCCCAGAACTGGACACAGTACATATAATAGTACATTTAAAAATGTCTTGAGTACTACACATGCGGTTGGTGAGTTTTGGTATATAAAACACATTACCTTCATGAGACTGTGAATCCTTGATTGATATTTCATTAAGACCGTCTTCATCTATGTCAAAATGCACTGTTTTTGAATCTTCAGTTAGTATATAACATTTCACTGTTTGACGCAGACTAAACACTAAGGAAAAATGAATTCTAATTAATTTTGCTAGCAACAGAGAAATGGTAAAATCCCATAACAGAAAGATCAAGTGTATTTTTCTAGCAATAATTACTTGATAATCTATGTATATTTGAACTGTGGGCAGAATAGCCATATATATTAGAAGTCCTACAGTGGGCTTAAGCAGCCAGTTTGGGAGATTGATGGTGAAGAAAGGAAACAAATATTTCTTTGTTTAGAAGGCTATCTCAGTGAAGAAGAAAAGACACATGCTGACCTTTCTGGAGATTAACATGTGTGAAAACTCGAGCTTGAAAAAATGGCTTCCAACCCAAGAGCCTGAGGGATAGTTAGTGTAAGAAGGAGGGATTGTGGACAACCTGCCCATAGCTACCTTCAAAAAGACTAGTGGGGACAGCATGATTTTAAAAATGAGAGAGTGGGCCCACATTAGTAAAGCAGAAGAGAATGTTTCTCTGCAGCATACTGTTTCTAAACCAGTTTCCTTTGTTTCTTAGGTAAGTACTTACCTGTTTCCCAATCTTGAACTTCAAAAATTGGATCTGTGTATAAACAAGAATTTTAGGCTAAAGTGAATATGGCTACCAAAAATAGCAGCATTTATTTTGGGAACCAGACATCTCTTAATGAAAAAAATGCAGATATTTTTGCCTAAAAGCTGCCAGGAGAGAAACTGTTCCCTATTGCTACTGAACACAACTGTGCTCTTCTGGATGTCAGAAGGACGTGGGTCCAGAAGCTTGAATGTCAGACATCTACAGAATAACACCACAGGACACAATTTTGATTACGTTTAGCTGAACACTGTTTACTGGAAGAGATTTGCTACACTGAAATCCAGTTAAGAAATTTCTGAGATCACATAGACCTCTAGGGTATGCTGCAAGATAAAAGTCCTTTCTTTGCCAGAACAATTAGGCTAGCAAAACAACAGGATACACAGAATGCACCAGCAGTGGCATAATGTTTTAGGAATGTGTGGCTTCACCAAAAACTGTTACTTATTTCATATTGAGGTACCTCCTCTGAAACATCTGTATTTAAGCAGATATTTTGAAAAAAATACTGTTGTTTCCAAGAACCTTTCTTCCTACCCTGTTAAGGCTGAGCAGAAACTCTGCACACACAATAAAAGAGAAGGATGATGCACATTCTGAAAGCCCAAATCACACCCTCCAGAAGTGGCAGGTCTGACATATTCTGTGTTGGACCATTAGCATGTGCATAACTGATTTATGCCTGGGCAAAGGCTGTATCTTCAAAGATAACTGGCCATCAGGCTTCCAGGAAAAAACAAAGGTTGTTCCGCAAACCAACAGGTCAACAACTACAATAATCAATACAGCAAACCTTTTAAAAGTTATTATATTGTGGTAGATATAGTGTAGGAATTCTATATCTAACTAGAATTATAAAAACTAGTACAGTGTCCAAACCAAAATGGTTGGCAAGCCTGTTTATGGCATTCACTCTTTTCCAGGGAGCTACAGATGTACCTTAGGAATTACTTATCTGAATTCAGTGGTGTGAAAAATCTAACGCTGATATTTTAAGGAGTATTTCTCTTCCAGTCATTTTAAAAGCAGCTTTTGGGTTTTAGTTCCACAAGTATTTTTACTTTTTGATGGCATTATAGATAAACTGTTTGAGAATACTTGGATTCTCATATATGTTGGATTCTGCCTTGGATTGGAATAATCTTTGCAAGATTACCAACATATCCGTCACTCAGGTAAGAGTTACCTGAATTTCCACGAAGTGTTTTCATTTTTCTAAGCACAGGTTGCTTCTTAACAGTCTGCCTTCGGTGGCGGGACACTTCATATGGCTTCTTATGGCCTGAGCGGAGCAGCATTGTGGGAGTATCTGAGAAATACCAATAACCTCAGCTGCCTTTCTTTTCCAGTCCTAAAGCAGGAGTTAGAATTTGTCACAAGACTTCATGTTTCTGTTGAGCCACAAGTTTGCAAATAAAAATTTGATAAATGACAGTTAAAGGAAACAGATAAACTCAAGAAATGTTTGAGTGCTTGCATGACCCAAGCATGTGTCTTGCAAGGCAAAACTGCTGTGTTTCCAGTGATGGTAAATAACAGTAATGTCTACACTTCCACTAAGATGCAGGTTATCATGGATAATACAGTTGTGCTGAAGGAATATATTTTGAAAGAGTTTCCTTTGAGATAAGATATAAGTAGTTTATGTGACCTCAATGTCTTTATGCTTGTCAGTCATACGAACGTAGCTACAGTTTGCTGGATTGAAAAAAGTACATTCATTTTGTCCTTTAGAATACAGTCCAAGATAATTTTCAAAGTATTCATAAGGGATTGAAAATGAGGCTACATAGCATAACACAGCATAATCTGATACTCAGTAAAGACGTGCAGCCATATTGCAATCTTAAACTGAAGTTCAGGAAATTTTGCCTCAGGAATGAGGACTGGAATTTGGAAATTTGAGGAATATATTATAATTATTAAGGGATATCAGTTAGCTTAGATATCCAAAGGAGAGATTCATGTCTAAGAATGGGAGCTACATTGATGAAGAAACCCTGCAGGCAGCTAATAAGGTATCCTGTTGTTGCAAGTTAAATCACGCATTTCAGAAAACCTAAGGACCTCATTTTGGCTTGAAGACAGGGAAACTGAAATTCTGAATTCTACACACTCTACCAAAACCAACTGTTTATGACTACTGCTTATGGCATGTCCAGACCAAAGAAAACAACTAGCTTCAATTCTGTCTAGTATCCTGGTGAATGGACGAAGTGAAGATGGGTACAATTCTTATTGCTGTTCAGCCTTGCACAGAATAACTAAGTATCTGTTGAGCCAGAGAGAACATAGCCCTGACACAAGTGTAATGACCTGTGAATTCACCCAGGGAAGGTGAGGGCAGTTCTGTTTTCTGACTTGGTTTAGTTTCCTGATGCAAAGTTTCACATTAAATATTTACATGAAATACCACAAATTAAAGACTTCTGTCTCTGGCAATTCTCTTGTTACTAAATACAAAGGGTAACTGAGTCCCTTTTTCACTCTCTTTGACACTTTAGTTATAACAACATTCAGTAAAGTCTCTGAAAAGTGAAACATTTATTATAAGGAATGAACTTGCTCTTCCTAGTGAAGATGTCTCATTTTTCAAATGTCTGATAACTTGCAATCAGAGGTAGAAATAAAAGGCTGTCTTCCTTATCCAGCTAAAATTGTTCTGAACGTTGGAAAACCAAACCAAAACAAACAAACAAACAAACAAAACATACAAAAAAACCCACAAAAAAACCCAAAACCACTCTTTGTAGTTTTTCGGTAAGTTCTAATTGCAACCTGGTCTCTGGAAACATCTACTAGAATAGGGCTCTGCGGTGTAAGTGGGCACTAATACTAGCTTGTGGATCTTGAGAGATATTATTGTGCTAGGTGCTCAGTGTTAACAAAGCATTAAGACTTTGCTAGATCTATGAGGCTAAAAACTAGACACTTAATCCCTTACTGAAGATTATGGAAACATAAGTGTAATTCTAGTTTGGCTGCTGCTGATCAGAAGTTCTGAAGATCCTGATTTCTGATTTTTGTCTACATTCATAGTCTTGAGGCTGTGTTGCTGACACTTACCACTGTAAGAGAAGAAGGACAATGATCACAAGTCAAGACTGAAGAATTCCTGAAGAGGGCAGAACAGTTCAAAGACATTTTCAGAAGCATATTTAGGAAGTAGATAAATTCTTAGGAAACTTCCTGTGATGAATGATGGACAGTAACCTTGAAGTTCTAAAGGACTATATTGAAGTTTAATTATTTTGCCTTGTTTAAACAAGAAGGAGATTGAAAAGTCTATTGTACAACTTCACCTCTGTTAGCTCTACAGAACAATTAAAGATCTCTATAATAAATAACAGAAGCTTCCACAGCTTGAATTGCCTCACATATCCCTGAAGACTAAATGACATATAAATATTCTTATTTCAATAAGCCTTTCCTCTCATGAAATGTTCTTCCGTAGATGTTACCTACTCCCACTTCTTTCATTTAGTCATAGTTTTTAATACTGTGTATATCTCCCTATGTCGATTTCTTTATTTTAATGTCTTTTATGCCTATTTCGTCAGCTCTTTTCTTTCTTATGTAAGGTATATACTGCTTGAAGAGGACTAGGAAGATCTGGATACTGTTCTTGGCTGCAGACATGTCTGTCTACCATTATTTTGGAAACTTGGATCTGTTTTGTTTCATTTTGCATCTAAGTATAATGGAGTTAATACTCTCTAAATTGCTGAACCCAAATATAAGAGTACATTTGTGGCCATTGGCAACAAGATCACCCTAAAAGCAGAGAGAATTTTAATTTTTTCCTACTACACAGACCATATAAATACATTTATATGAAAGCAGCAAAGAAAATCTGTTATATAGCCTCTCTTACCCCTTTAGTATTCTTAGTCATCATTCCCTCTTTCACTTAACCCCAAGACACATCTGATCATACAATTATATCAAATTCAGTACATGAAAACAACATTTAAAATTTTGGAATTCATTCACACAGTAGTGTGTTCCAAATATTATTTCATGCTGTATTGGTATATATCGTAACAAGATATGTCTAAGAACATTAAAAGATTAGAACTGTTTTTGTTGAGGGTATTGGATTGCAGCTGTTAGTCCTGCTAGCAAAGATCATAAGTAACTCATCCAGGTTTGTTCCAATTTAATAAAGATTAAAAAGAACTGTTGGCATCCTATAGCTAATAAATAGTGAGGTCATAGTCTCTTTCAAATCAGACATCACAAAATCTATACTCTAAACTAGATACAGGAATATCTAAAAACAAACATAAACTAGATGAAGAAAGAGATTTCAGAAGAAAATTTTACACTAAACAAGCAGTCTGATAACATAATCTTAAATTGAAGCCTATTTAATCCTGCTGTAATCTCCCATTCTTGCTTACCTTATTTTGCCTGTTATTGTCTCTGCTGGGATACTTCTACTCAACAGAGTGCTAGAAGCAGCTCTGTTACAGCGAATTTATTGCCTGAACACAGGGCAGGAAGCCAAGCCTCTGAATAAAAGAAAAGTCTGACGTGGACCTAATCTTCTAGATCTCCAAATACTTTCATTTATATCAACATTCTAATGGCTCTTATTGCTCCTGGAATTCCAGGAGTGTTGGAAACAGTAAGAACAAACTTTTAAATGTCTATTTCTTTAACATATCTCAGAAGCTTTCCAGCCTGGAACTGCATGCAAATTTTTAGCCTGGAGTTCCGTGAAATGCCTTAGTATACTCATAAATTATATTCTCACATTTTGTTTCACTAATGTTGTTCTTGCTATCAGTCATTCTTTCAGGGTTGATCCACATGTGAATAGTGGGTTTACCGTAATATAGGCATATTAAAAGTAGGAGTGTAGCCTCTGTTGCAGGGAGCTCAAAATAAGCTAACTGCTTAAACATTTACGCAGCTATCAAATGGGCTTTGCAGGCATTGCATCAATGGCAATCTTTGGATTGCTTGTGACATGAGTGAACTTGTTAGAGCAGATGTGCTACATTTCTTTGCCCATGAAGCCCAGGTAGTAACTAGGTCTTTCCTTATCAAATTCAGTATGTTCAGCTGGCTTTATCTATCTACGTACATACATTCCTAAGCATTTGCTCATTTATTGGTGAGGCCTCTCTATTCATATTAACTCTTTTTTTTTTTTTTTAATTAGTGAGCCTTGCATTTCTAAAGAAGTGAAACACACTTTTATTTACCTCACTGAAATAATGAAATTCCTCCAAAAACAATGATATTAACATTTTTTTTTTTTTAACTCCCAGAGTTTTCTTAAAATCAAGGAGCTACTGCTTTTATCTGGAATTTCTACATCATGTCAAGAAAGTTCTATATTTCACCTGTGTTTGATTTAGGAAAAGTCTTTTTTAGATTATTAAGCCCTGCTAGGTGGTATAATGCTGTGTTTTAGATTTAGGACGAGAATAGTGTTGATAACACACTAGTGTCTAGTTGTTGCTAAGCCATGTAAGTGCTAAGCACTAAGACAAGGGCATTTCTCCTCCTCACACCACAACACCAGTGAGAAGGCTGGGGGTACATGAAGATGGCAGGAGATAATGCTGGGACAGCTGACCCTGACTGACCAAAGGGATATTCCATACTGTATGGGGCAAAGCTCAGTAATATAAACTAAGGAAAAAGCTGGCTGGGGGCCACTGCTTGGGAACTGGCTGGGCCCCAGTTAGCAGGTGGCTAGCAGTTGCATTATGCATCACTTGTTTTGTACATTTTAATTATTTCATAATAGTTATTTTTATTTTCCCTTCTTTTTCTGACCTTTTAAACTTTTGTCTTTATCTAAGATGGTGAACTTTACTTTTTTCCCCTGAATTCTCTTCCCCACCCTGGGGTGGCAATGAGGCAGTGAGCAAGTGGCTTGTGTGGTGTTTAGCTGCCTGCTGAATTAATCCCCAACAGTCCCTTTTGGCACCCAACCCATAGGGTGTGAGGGGTTGAGATAACAGAAGATGTCATGAGAGCATATTAAAACATTTTTTTTTTTATAAGCAATTCATTGTATTGGTTTAATAGTCACTGCTCACAACATTGATTTATTTGATCTCAGTGTCATGTGTGTTCTCGGAGTTTCATTATGTAACATCTTACTTGCAGTGTATGTTCCCTGTTGTGCTATTTATCACCTGG